TTAGATAAATATTGTTTCCTGGCAAGATCCCCTTGATATATAAAGCGCATTAAGCTTATGGTCAATGAATTATAACATGCCGCCTGAACAGCTTTTAAAGTATGTTCTAACAATTTAAGGCAATGTGATGTTATCGGAACGGTCACTGCCTGCATACATGTAGCAAGCTCAGAACCATTACATTTGTACTTATCCTCACTTGACATCCTTGAAAATTAACTATATACATGTACATGCAATTGTGCCCTGTGCGCACATTCTGGATAATGCTTATCCCATGATTTAAGTGGTTTGTCACTGGAGGCTTTTTTACTTACTTGAATAATATTAATTGTTTGCGTCCTCATTGGCCTATTCTGGGTTTTTCTAATTTTTTTGGAGGTTTGATTAAGAACATCTTAACAATGAATATCTTTTCTTCGTTTATCGGGCCCATTTATAAGTATATTTTTCATATTATGTTACATTAGTTTACATTCGGGCAATACATATTACTGAAGGAACTTTTTCTCTTGTAGTTTATAAACTCTATATAAACAGTCGGATTTCTTTTACTATTTCCCCACTTATATCCCGCCTTTGCTGTTAACGGCGTTATTAGTCCTGTATCAGCCATGTGTCAGTCTTAAAACAAACATATCTTTTTAGGCCCCCTCCCTCTTCTACTTCCATGAGTGCAGGCTTACTCCCTCGGCAATATCCGTAGCATTTTCGTTGAAAATGACCTAACCGATAATGTGAGAGGTTGGCGGAGCATGTAATGTAGAGACCCCGAGACCCTACCCATTTTGTTATCAATCTTATGACTACAGCATAGATAATATTAAAAGATGAAAGTAAGCCACAAACAGGAGATTGCACCTTCAATTTGGTAGTAGATTCAGCATGCCGAAATGAAATATAAAATATCTCAGCTGTTTCGTCATTCCAGAATGCATTGGTGATGTAAAGGTGAAAAATTCAAATAGGTTAAGAGGAGTTGTGTATGTAGTAGATATCGCTTTCAAAGATTTTCAAAAACTACAGTTGTAAATTATTTGGGTTTATTAAATTCCCACTATTTTTTTCGGTATGATTAAATAGTTTCATTACAGAGTATGGGATTTGGAGATGAAGCAAGCTCTTGTTCTCCTCTACCAGGCAAACACATCAAGTCTCTAGGAACCCAAACCTCATGCCGATACATTTATGGTATTATCCCTCAAGTCAATGCTTTAGCTGTGTTTTTATCTTTTAATTTTCAAACTTTTGACACTTACATTGTATCATAATTGTGTTTTTTTAAATAGGAACTGTATGAATAGTTCATATTTAATAGTAGGTATTCGGTAATTATTACCTTTTGGTATATAACTTTAAAGACAAATTAGCTGTGTAGTTATTTTATTATCATTAGTTTAAGTTCATCTATTCTGTTTTTTTCTATTCTTGTGCATCGGATCTTATAAAACTAACGATTTGTTTGCAATGCTGATATTTTATCTGTTACTCTCCTGCGGTTTTTCCGATACTACATGTCTAAGCAAATACTTTGAAGACCTAAGGTTATTGTTTATCGTGTACAACGTGAAAATAAGCTCATTGTAATTTATTGTATTAATGTATTGTTCTGCAGCGATAGCTGCGTGTTTCAAAACATCTTAGGTATTCTAAGAGATGATAACATCTTAACGTGCCTGTTCACAGGAAGATAACAGACAAGGCTAACATAAAGATAAGCGTATATGTACAACATTGTGGTTGTATCTGTCATCTCCCAACAGAGTAATATATATAGGTTGACGTATGTCAGTGATAAAAGTTGTGTTACTGTAACCATCTAATGCCATTGATTGTCAAATCCATGAATAAAAATGATGGCCCATTACAGATGTACATTATTGTCGACTGTTTCCTCTACCTTGAATAATTACAAGCAATGCCATACCACTTATTTGTCTCTATTCAGTAGTAAATAGATCAACCAATGTATGTTTGCATTTCTATTACAGACCAAATGAACAAACAGCCATTTAAATGGAAGTAAATTTCGTCTTATATGGGTGCGAATTTAATTACATCTTGTTTCAAGTTCTCGATAATAAATTGTACACAGCAATAAAAGTAACCTGTAGTTGTAAAACATAAGAGAGAATACATTAAGGTGAGTGTCCATTAAAAAAACCCATTAAGTCATTTGATTTGATCTGGTAATCTATATATGTTTAAAAATTATGGCAAACTATTTTTTGTAGGTTTAGGTTATATACAATTGTTGCTGTATTTCACATAGAAAATATTTTTAATTTTATAAGCTGAATGACACATTTATTATTTCAACACATTTTCTTGGGACCTAAAAGAGGAGATACATTAACTTATCAGCATTTTCAATCAATTTTATATTTTATATAGCAATTTATCACATAATTGGCCTGTTATCCAGTTAATTCGCCCGTCTAATATTTTTACATATGTGTCTAGTGTAGTATACTCTGGAGCGTTTTTCATTGGCTGTGCCAGTCAGAAATCGATTGTGACGTCATAATATGGACAATAACGTGACGTCATAAATTATGAACGGTGCAACAAAATGGCTGTCTCCGTTTGATTAAGCCCTCTACATTTTTGCTTTAAAACCTGTCAAATTGTAAGTTTTCTGAGTTATGTGATATAAAGTATCTTAAATTTGTTTTCATTCCTTATGAGCATTTCATATGAGCTTTTATGAAACTCGTCTCGAAGTTTTAATTTTTGCTCGCCAAGGCTCGCAAAATCTCCTGAGACTCTTTTCATAAAATATGATATGAAATGAAAACTCATTTAAGATCCTACATGTCTTCATGGATATTAAAATATGCAAATAAAAAAAAAAAAAAAAAAAAAAAAGGATATCCGACGAATTCTTGATCACTCCAAAAGAATATTACATCATCGCTTTGATTCCTTTTGGTCGTATACTAGGTGTACCTTTACTGCCATTCTGCTGGTCGTGTTGGAGGATCCCAGTGGTATTACCTTTAGTACACCACTTTGATAGTTAGAAGCGTTTGTTCAAAGTTATTGTAAAACGTTCCTGCGATGATGTGTTATGTCGATGGCATATGAGCAGCATGTTGTAATGAATAGTACATTTATCATACACTCTTTAAACATAATTACACAAACAGCTAGTCAAATACGTGAATATCTACATCCACATCCATTGATGTAAATTATATAATATTTATTACTGTTAATTCTTTATACTAAGACATCAAACACAGATCATTTATAAGTGTTATTAAAGAACATGCTTCTTTACAAATACGCCCAACGCTACTTTCACTTATTGCACACACGGCTGCGTCAAAATCCCTACGAGCAGGTTGTTTAACCAGACGGTAATTAACAAAACCCGCTGAAGCAACACGCTGAGGAGAAGGCGTAATCATCGCAATTAAATATAGATTAGGTGTATACTTGTGTCGATAGTAAGTTTGAGACAAACATTGTGTCATAATTACATATACTAAACGTATTCCTATCTTATCTTCAAGTGGTATTTCGAAATGTCCTAAATGCGTTATTTGGTAACATTATATTGAATGATAACGGGTGAAATACATATTACTCATTTGTATTGGAAGTATGTGTGTTTTTCACCCTTAACATAAAGCAGTTGATGGGGTTTCTTGCACTCATGATGATTTCGTTGATGTCTTAATGTCGCTATGCAGCAGACAATGACCATCACTTGTCAAATACAAAACGGCGCCACGGTATTCTTTTGCATATCCTGTTTTATGTGATGCGGATTTAAAGTGCATTCAACGTGTATTCATCAACCAGGACATATAAATCCATGTGACATGAAATAATAATCCCATACTGTATATATTCGTTATATGTTCCTGGGGGACTCGCTATGAGTGGGTTTTCATTTTAATTTCGTGCATTCGTAACATTATTGAGATAATCCACAGTTAATGTTAAGATGAATACAAAACAGTTTCCAAAATCTCACGTTATACTGCTTCATGATTCAATTGACATGCGGGATTTATTTAGCAGCGTATGTACTATAAAGGTATTAAATAACACATATAAATAAGCAACTAAGACCTTTAGTTTATAGCAACTTTTCCTCCGTTTAAACGCTATATAAATCATCTTGTAATACGCTCGTATAATTACAACTTTTTCAAATAACTGTCAAAAAACTATTAGGAATTAGCTCCTTTATTCCTCAAAATGGAACATTTGTCAGTAGCGGGCAGCATTCGGTCGCTGGCGATAAGCCTAGCATTCGAAGAACTCTACACAACGTACCATTAAACAGCCATGCATTTTAGGGAGTAGAAGATAACATCGGGATAATATTAGATTTGAAATGTCTTCAACTAAGAAGGAACTAACAAAAATAATTTTGAAATCGATACCGGAAATTATCAACACTTGATGAATTCATTGATCGGCGACATTTATTGAACATGTAAGTTTCCAATTCCCTTTCTGCCAAAGCAAATAGCATCATACCAACAAAGAAAGGTTGATTTAAATGGTTATCATCTAAAAAGTCACCAACAATGGGTTCAGTTACCCAAGCACGCAAACTACCTAGGATATTAGACGTTCGTTTAAATCAATTACATAACTAAAGCAAATGCTGAAATCCATGTCCTATTATATATGCTGATAGCCTAACCGATTGGATTGCATGAGGTCTCACTAACATATACGGGCAAACACAAAGTCTGCCTCACACTATTACTGAGTATCATCGGCTAAGCAATTGGCAACAGACTGTATGTGGCCCAGTAAATAGTTATATTTTCTAGTCACATTGGAAAAAATTGTCCAATTAAGCGAACATCTTTCTCATAAATTGTAAAAATGGGAAGAATGAACATAATTTTAAGATCTGTTTTGAATATTTCCTTCTTTTACCGATCGTATGAAATAACACGGATGCTAATTGTAACTGGTTAACAGTAGGGGTTCGATATCTTATCACATAACTTGGTACTCTGAATACTCACCAATACTCGTTCTGGTCCTCGACTGCTGGCTCCTTCGGTACCACAAAATTGTGAAGTCCAAAAGGGTAGGCCAGTGTAACTCTCAGAGTCAACAATAGAAACAAGGATATAGTTAATATTTCTGTTACTTTCACTGACATCACTCGGTCCATTTAAAAGCAAACTTTAGAATTAAGTATAAAAGTAAGCGGGTTCCTCCTGTCCTCTGTTCAACAGGACACATACATCAAATGAGCACTTTAAGGGTATGGTATTCTGTATAGTGTAATGACTCGGTACCTATGTACAGTATTTGGAATAAGTTGTAACTTAACAAGGTATGTGATATCTGTCAGATCCGCGTGCTGATCAATAGGAGTGGCTGGTTGTTAAGGTCCAAAGTACTGACGACTGCCACAATGCTCTGAATTATATATGCTTTGAGTATCATGTGAAATTTCACAGACTTGTCGTTGAAGGCACGAGGGAGGAGCAAACTGCGTTCAGTCTCTGTATCATGACATCAATCACGTTGAAAGGGGAGTGTTCTACGTGAACTCTATATTTGATAGTGATGACATCAAACTGCACGTGAGCGTCCGGTGGTGATTATAAAGAAGGGCATACGGAAATTTGGAAAATGTAGAGATTGATTTAATGCCATTGGCCGCCTACAGTATTAGTATTAATACTCTCATTACTGAAGAGCAACCTTCATGATGTATATTAATTATGTGATTGACGTAATACTTTATGTTCCTTTACGTAGGCATTTAATTTATTACATTTATGACGTACAAAGGTTTTGAAAAGTAAACTCTATCTTTTACATTGAAAACGACGTAAAGCTTAGTTAACAATTGGGTTTACTTAGACGAAACTTATACGATCAAATAAAGATTTGATTGAAACTCCTTCATTTTGTTTTCTTTCGGGAATGTCGTAAAGAACCGTTCAATTTTCCGTCCGTCTATCTTCCAACCTGTTGATAAAATTAAAAACTTACGCAACGCATTTAAAGTTTGATTTCTCGAAAATTTAAAATAATTATCATAAACATCTTTTTTTTCTACATACACCTGTACATAATACGGTATATGCGCTGTATATAGATACTATACCGACACAATACCGACAATAAACGGGGAATTGACAATAAAATAGGGCATCATACTGCGAGAGTGGGAACAACCTGCAAACACTGACAATATATGGACATCGCGTTTGGAACATATGAACAATATTCAAATAATTAACAGACAATATGTGGATTAAACATGTGTACAATTTATTGTAAACGATGGTGTCTAGGAGAGGAAAGAAATAACGTGCTAGTTTAAATGAATGAAATCTAAACTAACTTAATACATGTATACAGATTGTGAACCTTACGTAGATGATATAGATTTGTATACTTTACTATTTGTTTTGGATTTTACTGGGTCTTTCCGTTTAAGTTTATCTCTCTGCAGTAATGAGAGTTTAAGGGCCTCTGGGGTCTGACTTATGTACTGGAGTGGTGACGCTCTAGTATGTGAGGAGCTCTTTTTCATGGTTGTTTGTTTGGTCGAGATACATTGGCAACCTCTTTTCTCCATACGGTCTCAAATGACGATAAACGGTTTTTTTCTGGTATTGTTTTTATAAAAGTGGTTGTTTCAGGTTCTCTTTGCTTATAATACGTAGCAAAAACCATATCAACATCATATCAGGCGACATATGATTATCCTTACAATGTGTGAATCGTAAAAGTCTGACATTATGGTCAATGAATCAACGCTTGTGTCGGGTAACCGTATGTTGACTTATCAACAGGAAATCCTTGATCGATGACAAGTAAGACAGGACAACAGGAGGTTCCCTGTATGGCCGCCTGTTTAATAATGCACAGGGCTAGATCTATTTTCGTGTTTATTTGTTGGCATGACGTACATGTAGGTGTGACTGGGCGTTTCCAGCCAATCACAGATAAATATAAGTATCTGTATATCTGTGTATCCACGTGAATGTGTGTGTAGTCATGCACATGCTAATTATAATAGCAAATCAAACAACTTCCAAAGTTAAAGGGAGTGGTTGCCCATTACAAGTATTCCAAAATTAGTTCATGTAAAGGCATTGGCATGTCATAGGGCAACTACTAGTTACAATAGTGTACTTCCGTTATGAATTATTAATGTAAAAAACTCTGTTCAACTCTGATATTGCCTTTGGATCCGTTTCTTTGACATTTCCGTTATTTACCATTGAAAAGCTTATAGCTTGAACAATCATGACATGACATTTATAAGTTTACAAAAACAGAAAAAAAGAAAGTAAAACCTTTTTTGCTGGAAAGTATTTTTTTGGTTGTACATCACGCGTAATAACTCAACGTATTGTATGTAAGGTAATCATAAAAACGATATTGATGTTAGGTTATCTACACTACATAACTAAGACTCTGGACTTGAAACTTGTATGATAGTTTATGAAATTAAGCTTATTCTAAAAGAGAGTGAACAGTTTTATTTAACTGTGGAGATGGATTAATCAGTTGTTCTGAATCATATTTTATAATTTTAAAGAGGAAATACACTTTCTAGTACATTTTTTTTTCAGTGATGGTTTGCGCTAACGAATGATTTATTAGTAACATTAATTTGTTCAGCTTAGAAACAGATACAATACAGACTTCTCTTTTATCCATGAGCGCTATTGCCATGCAATGTTAACAAAGCTTCACAAAACAATTGCCCGGAGGTTTTTATTTCAATATTCTTAATTCATGTTTTTGTTAATTATCTTAATGTCAAACACGAAGTGTATTTTTTGTTTGTTTAATTGTCTGCTCTCAAACTCGGAACAAAACGCGGCACTAGATGTTTGTCTGTGTTTTTAACAGGTGTCGCTTGTTAGTTCTTTACATCAGTGACGGATTGACACTATAAGTTACCGTCGTGATTATGCGCACAATATCACAATCCCGAGATAACGCTACATACAATGACATGGCGCCAGTTATACTATAAACAATCCAAAGAAGACATTAAGCGTGATAGTAGAATATACCGTACCACAGTGTAGCATTACAGGGTTTTAGTGAAGTCGTTAGAAAAACAATAGTTAATACATCAGTATTGGAAATTATAAGTCAAAGGTGAAATGATGCACACTATCTATTCGTCTCCACCTTCTCCGAGATCATAACCATACTTACGGTGCCTAATAAAGAAGTATATAGGTTATTGAAAATACTAGAACCCTACTCTATAATATCTTAACACTCTGGTTTATTATAAATATATATAAATTGTGTCTCTTTTTGAAATAAATTGTCATAATATATGTATTTCCTGCTATATTCTATTAAAGGGCGAATACTGAAACCTAGCCAAAGCTAATATTGGGTTATCGTATCTTTTTGATAAATATATTTTGGTCAGTTATAATCAAAATATTATGTCAAATGAAAGCATCGCCTAATATATCAAATTCTGTTGCTAAAAGAACATTAAAAGGAGGAGATAAAATAATCAAAACGCAACATGCATGTGACCGTGAGAGTTGGCAGTAATAAACGTTACATACTATCAATGCAAAACGAGGCTTGACGCATTGCTAAAGTGTAGCGATCATCGATAGTGATGCTTATGAAACTAGCTAAAAAAAAAGACTTTAATATGTCTACCTGCAGAATAACATGCAAAATATTAAAAGATTTTAGTTTGTAGTAGAATGAGATGAAATCTGTTGATAGGAAACCTTTTCTTTCGTTAAATGTAGTAATGCGTGGCCGTTCAACTGTCCGTACTATACGCAATCGTTAAAAATCAAGTCATTTGCGCAATGGCCAGCCCTATACGGGTTCCGTTTTGACATGACATCATCGACACATTCCCCAAATTGGGCTCAGGCACGCCATCGATGGCAATTAAGACAATATAATCCGATCTCTGTTCTGAGATTGGTCTTGCTTTTGTTTAATCAATCAAGAACGGAGGCAGTGACGGTAGAGACGTCGAGGAGAACGTACTGCGGACCGTAGCGTCTTTGAACGTGTCCTTTTTGGTGGCGATTGCGCAAGGTTAAAAGAAACATATTGGCAGTAGCCCAAGGCTAAGTGTCCTCAGTGGAAGTTTGACTGAGGCTTGTTATCAAGATACATTTTACAACTTGCCGTTGTCTCGTTTTTGCGGCGCCACAATGCGAACGCCATTTTCTAACAAACTGCCTCTTTCCGAACAGCTGTTACGTCATAAGGAATTTTCTGACGCCAACGTTTTTCAAATGTTTGATTGGCCTGCAGTACTTTCAGATATTTCTCCTATGGAACCTGGAGGAACGAGTTCAGCGCCGTCAAAATTAGTCCTGGAATGTACATAACTCGCTCAACGTGGTTCAGGAATAGAACAACGTTCCCCCTAATATCGTTAATAAATGAAAGACACATATGCTATAAGACTTCGTTATGTATTCCATCGGTCATTAAAAACTCTTTGATATCGACCCGATATCACTTTAATTCATTTTGCATATATGGTACCTTTTAATGAATATTTCTTGAAAAAATGCATATGTATTTTATTATATGTTATGAAATATTTTGACATGAACAAAAAGAATCTGACAAATTGTCAAAATCGTACATTAAAATAGGATATTCTTTCTGATATCAAACATTTCAAAACTAAAGTTTCATCATAAATCCAAAAAACATTAATCGACAATTTCAAAGACCTTAATGCCATTTATGACGCTCTGCTGTAATACCTGATTGTGACGTCATAATATTGTGTTTAAACTAAAGGTCATTTTCGATAACTCATGAGTTTACTATTAACATTCTGATTCTAATTGAACGGATTGTATATCATATACGACAAGGCAAAGAGTATTTTTGTGATAATTGTAAAATGTCAGTTCATATGGCAGCCATATTTATTTTTGACGATACTTCCCCGTAATGTATTGCCTTTTGTTTTGAAATAGTTCATAGGAAATAAAAATTAAGTAAACACTATTAAGTAATCTTATTGCTTTCAAACTATAAAAATAACACATAATTTCAACGCTGTACATTACAGTAAAATTAGATCGATAACATTTGTAAGACACTAAGATTCATTTCTACATGTACCGTGTACCAATGGTATTGTTATAATTGAATCCCGTGTAAACAGAAAATATTTGTGATTCAGAGCAAAACCAGTTTACAACCTGCATTTGTAGATATCTTTACGTCATGATTTATCATGATGACATCATTCGCTGTTCTCGTTGTACAAGGCGTAGCAGACTGTGCAATGACGTGATAGTGTTACCCGTAGCTATTCACGATCGATCTCCAGCTGTCATTATAGTGTTATTATCACGTCTTAACACACGATTTGTCCATTCTTAATCAGAAGGATATTGTGCCAAATAAGCAGCACAGAGCAAATTGTTTCTCCAA